GAAGACTGATGTAAATTCATTTATTCTGCTTTAGATACTGAAGATGGAATCTGATAGAATTCCGAAACGTTTATCCATGTCCCCTTTTTGTCAATAAACAATGTTGTTTATCATAAGTGTCGTAATCTTGTTTATACCCAAGGCTCTTTCTGTACTATGCCCACCACAGTTATCGAAACCCGTTTTGTAGCGTTATAAGGCTTCAGGTATACTACTCAACCACTAGGGGGGGGGGGAGCTTATGTATGTGTAATATACATATATATATCATTGGGGATTGGGTGTGTGCTTATGTATATATATACACGCATGTTGCACTTCAAATTGAAAGCACGTCCATCAACGAATTAACTTTCTCAGAGCAACGATAGATAAAGTAAAATGTCAAAAACAGTTTCATGAAGTGTTAGAAATGCTTGATCGCTATTTACGATAGTATCTAGAACTTTTTAGTCTTAAGTCGGATAAGGCAGGAGCTTACCACCGGAGTTTCTACAAGTATCTGGAACTTTTCAGTCTTAAGTCGGATAAGGTAGAAGCTTACCACCGGAGTTTCTGATAAGTATCTGGAACTTTTAGTCTTAAGTCGGATAAGGTAGAAGCTTACCACCGGAGTTTCTGATAAGTATCTGAAACTTTTTAGTCTTAAGTCGGATAAGGCAGGAGCTTACCACCGGAGTTTCTGACAAGTATCTGGAACTTTTTAGTCTTAAGTCGGATAAGGCAGGAGCTTACCACCGGAGTTTCTGACAAGTATCTGGAACTTTTCAGTCTTAAGTCGGATAAGGCAGAAGCTTACCACCGGAGTTTCTACAAGTATCTGGAACTTTTCAGTCTTAAGTCGGATAAGGCAGAAGCTTACCACCGGAGTTTCTGACAAGTATCTGGAACTTTTCAGTCTTAAGTCGGACAAGGCAGAAGCTTACCACCGGAGTTTCTGGCGTGAGAATTGTTAAGTCAGAGCACCATTCTAATTGTTAATTCTGATTTTTCTGGATTAGTTTTGCAGCGTTGCGGCTCATTATCTCCAATTGCCTAAACCTTGTAATTACATTTAAATATGTAAAGAGTTTAACACTGGTTTAAAATAAAGGGTGTGGTGAGTTTTAAGGGGAAATATTAACGCTGATTTAAGGAACAGCTACAGCCAACTACACAAAGTAGGAAGTCGCCAGAAAAAAACCTTGAAAAGTCATCATTATAAAGGCATTAGAAATGTCGCTACATAAACTCGCTATACAATTCAATAGCGAATATAAAAAAAAATATCTGTATAATTCTGTAGAAATTATATGTAGATAATAGGAATTTTTTGCTACATTCAGGAGACACTATAACACATTATAGAATTTCTATATTCTCTAAACACCTAAAAAGTTTTTTAATATTGTAAGTCACATTAGAATAGGTGTTTAACGTAGAATTTTTAAAAACGTACCTAAATCTCCATGGTGTCGTCGTCCTAATCCCATTTCATGTTTTTTGGATGTATATGGCTGGTTGTAGATGTAAAAGTTTACAAGCAGCATCAGCGTTCGCTGTTATCAGGTGCCGATCACCGTCTCACGTAGAGTCTCGTCAGGGCTACGTAGATGTAATATTTTCGACGTTGCGTGAAGCAAAATGTTCTAAGACGAGTGTCGATTTTAATGTTATTAAGCTGCTTGTGATTGATTTTGTGACTATAAAAACTGTCGACTTCTTTATCAGAATATCACTGTTGTCCGTTACCAGAATAGCACTGTTGCCCGCAACGAAACTCGCTAGTCGCTGTGACAAACTTTTGTCGCTAGGGGAACCCAAATATTTCCAGATGTAACAACAAAATCTTTATCTTGCCAATCGTTTGAGCGTAATCTATACTAACTAATATTTTCTAAATACATGAAGCAACGTCTGTGTTCAGTAATACATATAGTAGTATCCTTCTAGTTGTATTAATAGTTTGAAGTCGTGAAAAAAGATGAGAAACGAAATCAGCTGGTGTGTTTCTGTCCTAAATTTATATAGACATTTACCACCTGTTCTGTATGTGGCGTCTGACTGAAGAACACATTTTATGTAATATCACTTGCGCCGCAAATATATTTGGTTCGTTAAACACGCACAAGGTGTATGTTTACTCATAGTAAACCCTGCAGGATTCATTACTCATCAGACGTATGTAATTTATATAATGGGTGAATGTGAAGGTTAGTGTGAATGAATACAGAAATAAAAATTATATAAAAACATTAAGCTTTAGAGTGGAGGAGATAGTTGTGAATGCCCGTTTTACTTGTGGTCAAATAAAAATCGGTGACACGTTTGTTACTCTCTTGTTTTTTATGATCGGCTATTAAGCTTACTTTATTTCTTTAACTATACAGTAAATCGTCCCCCGGTGGCACAGCGTTAAGTTTGCCGATCTATAACGTTAGAAACTGGGATTTGATACCCGCGGTGAGCTCAACACAGATACCTAATTGTGAAGCTTTGTACTTAATTAAAACAAAATATAAAATAACTTGTATATAAAAACAAACAAAGTATATAATAACTTTTATATGAAACCACAAACAAACTATATAATAACTTGTATATGAAAAATAATAACTAGTATATGCAAACACAAACAAACTATATAATAGCTCTTACTTGAAAATACAAACAAATATATAATAAACTGTATATGAGAAAAAGAAACTATATAATAACTTGTATATGAGAAAAAGAAACTATATAATAACTTGTATATGAGAAAAAGAAACTATATAATAACTCGTATATGAGAAAAAGCAACTATATAATAATTCGATGACGAGGAACCCACTTTGAGACTAATAATGGTTGGAGACGGTTTGAATGGGTA